AAAAAAAAGTTAAATATTAAATTTGGACTCAATTGAACATGGATACAAACAATGGTCACCAAATCCCGAACAGGTTGTCTGAGCCCCTTGAGGAATTCATCCAGCACTGTTTTGAAGAAACCTCTATTTCAATCTGTTCCTATGCATTAGTTATTGCAAAACAACAGACAATCCCCAAAACAAATTGACCTTTTGTGTTACTTGAGCCCAGTCACGAAGGGCCCTTGTGACGGCCTCATGCCTAACAACTTTCTTCAAAAGGAACTAGGGTCCCAGACGGCACCTAAGCTTCATGAGACCTCTCCTCGTCTGTGCATGAATGAGTGGCCGACTCTGGAGCGCAGGCTGTGGCTTCTCAGTCTGGTGGTGAATCCTCCGTAGTCTGGTGACTGTAAATATATATATATACATATGTTTATCTTTTCCCTTCTTCCCTTCCCATTGCAATTTGCTTATTATATCAATTTGCTTATTATATTATTTGCTTATTATATCTGCATTGCCATTTATGTGGGATAAAGGTTGTTTACTCTTAAAAGTATTGTGCGTGCCTTCTCCCCTCGCGGGTCTCCCACACAGAACATTTTTGGCGTCACGAACAGGATCCGAAAGTGAAAGCACGCCATTTTTTGTCCACAGGACCTCGCTGGGAGCTCCAGGACTTCCTATATCCCAGGATGGAAACTTCCCCAGTTCTACCCTTGGTCACTGAGTGGTCCAAGGGAACTGGCCTTTGTGAAAATTCGTAATCTAAATTAGTGCATTTTGAACCTGGCGTGGATAGTGCTTGCTTACTGCTTATAAGTTAATGTATCAAGATAGGGACTGCTTGCTACAAGAGAGATGTGAGCTGGAAAACGAAAATGATCATCTGACTTCCAGACTCGCCTGGGCCCAATGTCAGGCCTATGTCTTGACTGATAAAGCTCAAAGCTATCAGTCAAAAGCAGCTGACCAAGTGACCCACTCAGGGTAAAACTGAAGAACTTATCAGCCAGGGATTGAAGCAGGTAAAAACCCAGCTCCTATCTCAAGGATGAGAAATTAACCCTAGTAAAATTCAAGGACCTGCATAAACTGTAAAATTCCTTGGCATCCTATGGAATGCAGGGAAATAGTCCATTTTACCAAAGGCTAAGGCTAAAATACTAGAATTTGCAAACCCTACCACTAAAAAGGGGGCCCAGAAATGTATTGGCTCGTTTGAATTTTGGAGACATCATATTCCCCACTTGGACAACATTTTACGACATCTGCATGCAGTCATTAGAAAACGCTATGGCTTTCACTGCGGAAAGGAAGAGCGTGGCTTTTGAACAAGCTAACAAGCGGTGCAACTGGTCCTGGATCTATGGATGTGTGGGATGGGCACGTAGAACTGCAAGTAACTGTCCTAGATCAACATGCCAATTGGAGCCTTAGCCAGGAACAAGATGGAAACAGGGTACCTTTGGGGTTTTCAACCCAGAAACTGCCAGAGGCTGGCAAAGCTTATACATCTTTCGAGAAGCAATTGTTAGCTTGCTTTGGGGCTTTTTGGAGCACCTCTGCTTTAACCATGATGTCTTTATAAGGCCTGAAATTCCTATTATGACTTGGGTCACGAGTTCCCCCAAAGCTCACTGGATAGGGCATGCCCAAGAAAGTAGCATCATCGAATGGAAATGGTACATACAAGACCAGGTTAAGCCAAAACCAAAGGGGGTATCACTTTTACATGAGGATGTACAAAACCTGCCCGCCCAGGAAACCACCAAGCAAGTTCTGCAGATAGGGGAGGAGACCCAATGGGGCAAATCCTTTAAAGAACTAAGCCCAGCAGATGAGAAACATGCTTGGTTTACTGGTGGATCCATCAAATACGTTGGTGGGACCCAATGCTAGAGGCCGTGGCTTATAACATTAAAAAGCATTTCTGATGAAGGCAGGGGTGGGAGCAGCCAGCTGGCTGAACTAGTAGCTGTCCTCTGAGCTATTCAGGAGGAGGGATTTGTCACTTGAATACCGACTCTTGGTCAGTAGCAAATACCTGGATGCCCCACTGGCAGCAAAACAAGTAGTTAATTGAGAATAAAGAGTTTTGGGGAAAACAATACTGGGAAGATATCTGAATCCTGGCACACACCACCATTATCACTCTTTTCCATGTTGATGCTCATGCATCTCTGCTTTCTCTTCACAGACTATTTAATCAGTAGGCAGATCAACCGGCCAAATTTCCACTGTAACTGCAAGCTTGAATGTGGATGAATGTATTACAACATGTTCAAGCCTTGCAATGAGAGGTATTATAATGTATGGTGGTATAATTAATAGTGATTACCAGGGAGAGTTAAAGGTCATGTTATACAATACCACTCTGGATTCTTTTGCTATAAAACCGCAGATACGGGTAGCTCAATTGTTAGTGGTACCTTGTCAACAATTAACCCCTGAGGAAATCTCTGCCCCAGCAGAGGCTACACACAGAACTGGGGGATTCAGATCCACTGGTACAGATAGCTTAAATCCTGGAGCCAAAACATGGATACGGCATCCATCAGATCCGGATCCCGCCCCTAAGGCTGGTGACCTTGTAGCTATGGGAACAGAAAATGATATCACCGGGAATAATCTATCTACTAATGGTCAACACCTGTGTCTTTTTTTCTGAGGCCAAGATTAAATTCATCAACTGGGTAGCCACCGCTGCAGAAGAAACCAACCGTAGTCAATGTTGGCTATGCATTGAATTGCCAGAGGCCACCAGGAATGGGCTACCTTGGAGAATCATCCTTGCTAACATTTCTGAATGGCTATGTCGCTACCAGTGGGACCACAACAACACTTGCAATCCCACTTAGACTTCCTTTGACCAAACCTAGTCTTGGTACTCTGGGGTTTCTCCTGCCAGACACTTGTCAACATGTACTCCAAATCAACAACATTAGCCCCAGTGAAACACAATCTCTTTCCTACTTTAATAACACATTGGTACACTACAATTACAGTAACTCTGTTGCTGTCCCCTATGGGGCCCTCTGGGTATATGGATCCTATGGGTGGTGATACCTGTTCCCACACTGAACAGGGAGATGCACTTGGGGTTGGCCATTAATTCCATTCACCATCCGGATAATATTCCCCTCCCCAGTAATCTAGATGCTTGCAAACATCACTGGTTACAAATGCACCCGACTCCCTGGGGGTGGTACCCTATCACAGTATTCTTCCCTGCGGCTGGTAGGGTCCTGCTTCAGCAACAAATTAAAATATTAAGCTTACAGGTAGAAAAGTTCTTAATGATAGTAGCCCTGGACTTATGTTGGTATCAAATGAATTTGCTCAGCTTCGTACTGTTGTGTTGCAAATGGAATGGCATTAGATATGCTTATCACAGCTCAAGGAGGGCTTCGCACCTTGCCGCATACTGAATGTTATATATATATATATATCCCTGACAATTCTCACAGTATTACTCTCCTCGCAAAGCCATGATGGGTGTTGTTTTTATTCGCTGTGCTTTTAATTCTCCTGTGCTTACCCTGTGTCTGTAATCTATATCAACTATGCCTTCTCCATGTATCTGTAAAGGTATTTTCCTGCAATTGAATATCAAATTGAAGCCGAATGTAGAGGAAAAGTTAAACGTTAAATTTGAACTCAATTGAACATGAACACAAACAATGGTCACCAAGTTATGAAACAGGTCGTGTGAGCCCCTTGAGGAATTCATCCAGCACTGTTTCGAAAAAATCTCTATTTAATCTATTCCTATTCGTTAGGTATTGAAAAACAACAGACAATGGCAAAAACAAGTTGACCTTTTTGTGTTCCTTGCCCAGTCGCAAAAGACCTTCACAACTGGTCCTCATACCAAACAACTTGTTACAAAAACAGCTAGGGTCCCAGACAGAAGCTTCGTCTGATGAGTGTAAATATAAAGGTATCTTTTCCCTTCTCACCTTCCCATTGCAATGTGATTATAATAATTTGCTTATTATATCTGCATTGCCATTTAATTGGGATAAAGGTTGTTTACCCCTTAAAGGTATTGTGTGTGTGTCTTTTCTTCTCCCCTGGTGGGTTTCCCGCATAGAGTAGGCTCCTCCACTATCTCTAGTAGTTACATTTCTTGGAAGTTTCATAATCTGGTGCTGATTCTAGTGTTTGGATGCCCGTACTTCGCTTCTGCTTTTCAAGAAGATTTCAGTTTAACATCTTATCTTACAATCACATTGTTCTAATTTTAACAATTATCATTTATTGAGCCTTTAAGCTCTAGAAATTGCAGAACGCTTTACATAAGATTTTCCCATTTCGTACTCAAAACATCCCTATGTGTTGGTCGCTATTAATCCCATTTGACAGATCTGGAAACTGAGGCCCAGAGAGGCTAGTCGAGGCCACCCAGCTAGTTACTCTTAGAGCGGAGACTCTGATCGCTAGTGGTGGTAATAGAATTTGTAAATCATATCAAACAGTATATATATATCTTCCGTAACACCCTAGAGTTTTCGCCTAGCCCAAGAATTGTCCTTTTTGACCTCTGGTGATTGTTCCTCCCTGAGCCAGATAAGCCGCAACCCTGTTGGAAGCAGTGAAGAGCCATAGGGAAGAGCAGCCTTTGCGGAGACAGCCACCTGAAATCCTGCTCCACAACTTCGGCTTCTGGAGAGCGGGCCCAACGCTTAGTGATCGCGGCTTCCCTGAGGACGCGGGTCCCCGAGTCACCAGCGCCACCTGCGCTCCGGGCCCAAAGCACAATCACAAAGCGCGGGACCTTTGGGCGGCGCGGGGCGACCTGGCCCCCGCAGCCACCGGGCCGGATCGCGGGACCCCGCAAGGACTCTGCTCCGTGGAGCGTTTGTCCTTGGGCCGGAGCTCTGCGGCCCGCGCTGCCCAGGCCGAGCCCCGCCGGGGGGCTCCCTCCTCCAGGTCATTCCCCAGGGAGGAGGGGATCGGGAAGGAGAGAACGGGGGGCGGGGCCTGCCACCCACAGTCCCCAACCCGAGGACGTCACGGCCCCAGGTGCGAGAGCGAGGGGGCGGGAGTCCACCCCGCGCCTCCTTCCTCTGCCGAGCTCCCCACCTCTGTAAGAGCCGCGCGGGCCGCCCCCGGCTCCATTTTCTCGCGGCGGCCACACCTGTAGCCGCGCCTTTGGGTTGGGCAGGGCCGGGCCGCGCGGCCGCAGCGGGGAAGCCGGGCCGCCGGGGCGGGCTGGGCCGAGGCCGGGAGGAGTCGAGTGCGCGCTAGGGGCCGGCGGCGGCGGGAGGCGGAGGCGAGGGCGCGATGGCGCAGAGCCCGGGAGGCCTGTGTGTCCTGCTGCTTCTCCTGGTGAGTGCCGCGAGCGGGGCGAGGGAGCCACCGCCGGGGAGGGCGTCGGCAGGCGAGGTCTAGAGCTCGCGCCCAGACCTGCCCGCCCGCCCGGCGCTCGCTCCTGCTGCCCCGAGGTGGGAAAGGGCCGGGCAGGCTGCTGCGAGACCCGACCTGGGGCTTCGGAAAAAACTCGGCTGGGGCCAGGAGGGTAGGTTGGGCCCTGTCGAAGCTGTGTTTTTCTTCCCGCGACACCGAGGCCTCCGCGCCCTTTTCTGTGGTGTGTGGATGTAGTGAGCCCTGGGGCGGGGAACACCTGGGGGTCGGGGGCTTTGTTTGGCGTCCCTGGGACGGGAAACGTGGGGGCAGTAGGGAGCCACCTCGCGCCTCTTCCACGTTCCTTGTTTCCCTAGGATTCCCCAGTTCCTCTAGCCGCCGACACACGCCAGTGAAACGGAAAACCAGGAACATACCTGTATTCTTAGAGTGCAAAAAGTAGGCTAAAAATAGTTTCTTTTTTAAAAAAGGTGTAATTTACAAAGTTTAACTTTTAAGTGGATCAACCACATAAAGATAGTTTTAAAGTTTATAAAGTCGATGTTTCAAAAGTTTTCCAGCATTAAAGATAATAAACATGTGTAATAGTTTGAAGGCTTATTCATTTAAAAGGTTATAGAAAATCGAAGTGTAGAGCCCCCTCCCCGACCCCACTGGAGACGACGTTCATTCCTTCGATCTAGAGTTCTTATGCTTAAACTGGATTTTAAACTGTTGGTTGTCTGTTTGTCTAAGGGGTTGCACGTATGTATCTCAGTTATAGGGGTTTGTTAAATGGGTTTTAATAAAGTGACAGTTATGCTGCAAATATAGGTGTGGGTTCACCTTCCAGAGAGTTCACAAATATATGTTCACAGAGATTAGATGCAAAATCATACTCAGTTTTCTTATGTGATGATGAAAATGAAATTGAAAATGCAAATACATTCACTGTCTTCAAAGTTCTAACTTCCAAAAGATGAACCCTTCTATCCCAGAATTGTGGTGGGATATGGAAGAAAATCGTGTGTGTGTCTCAAAAGGGAAAAAGGCTTACTAAATCCAATGTAGAGATTTCCATGAACTCTCAGGTGGAAGAGCATGATAATTAGGACCTCCAGTCCTACCACACAGTTCATGTTTGTGCTCTACTTATCCATTTCATTTTGCCCATATCTTTGAAGTAACTTTCAGCGCAAGCTCATTTGGTCAATAAAACTTTTCTAAGACATGATTTGGGGCTTTGTTTTTAGCCTCAGGAATGGCAAAGCAACTAATCCCCTCACCTTGGTGTTTTCTTGGTTAAGGAGAATTCCAAGCTAATATAGCACCTAGCTCACTTTGAGAGTTACATATTCCTTCCATGTATGAAAAGCAATGACCTTTACTCTTCAAAGAATATAGCAATCAGGCCAATTTGTACACTCACAGAGTAGCAGGTAAACACGTTAGGTATATCCTTCACTTTAGCAATTTGATACTTTTACCTTATTGAGCAGTAATAAACAGCTCCTTTAGAAAGCAACTATAGCCAATGGAACAGGAGCAAAATTCTGGGACTGTTCTATGTATTTTCTATAAAACTTTCTGCAGTATAAATTTGAGTATGTCTATTTTTTGTTCAGACGATAGTGGGCAATTAAGCGTTTTGCCCCCAGTGTTTGCAGTTGTAGTCTTTTGGTTAATAAAAAAAAAAAAAAAAAAAAAAAAGGAAAGCAACTCATCTGTCAGAAGTAATTGCCAAGGAAACAGGTTCTTTACTGGAATATAAATTGTAGTCTATTGGATCAGAGTTCAGTTGCAGATAACAGAATTTTCTGTAGCTGTTTAAAGCAAGAATAGGTTTATTTCAGGGCACTAAACTGACTACCTAAGTGTAAGAAGGACTGAGAAGACTCCCATTTGAGGTCTCAATAATGACTTCAAAGCCACACAGCAGAACCACACCACTTAGGGAGCTGCTGCCTCACCTGTGACCAGGAACTGCACTGCCACTCCCACAGTCTAGAAACTGCTGTGATCAGGGTGCCACTTTCGCTACCAGCTGCTTTCCATATATCCGCATCTGCTCTCCAGCAAACACAGCAGGCACAGAGCTTCTGCTTCACTTCCTTTCAAATTTCATGTAAATACTGATTGAAGCCAAACCACATTCAGAACAAAGCCTGCAATGGCGTCTATGACACATAGCCTTTCACTTTCCTCAACAGTACAGGGAGACACACCAGAAGGTACCTGGGTCACCCACACAGCTATGACACGTTTAGGTCAACTGTATCAAAATGGGGAAAAGAAATAATTTTCTGAACAAATTTAGAGAATGTTTCCTCTTCAAGGTTTCTTTGTCTGCAATCCATCCACTCCCAAATGGTTCACAGGTAGAATTCAGGGGGTTCCTAGAGATGGCAAGGAATTAATTAGATACATATTTTAACTGACTTCTGACTGAAATTTAGTATTTCTTTAAATTATGAGTGTAGGGAAGACACTGCCACAGTAGTGTGAGCAGTACCTGTGACTATCACAATAGAATTCACAAATCCCTTTACATCATATTATAGTGATCTCAAAATACCATTTATTCTGAACATTACCAATAGACTTTCTACTAGATATTTTGCTTAATATGTTAATAACAAAATACATGATATTGCTGCATCACAAATTGGTATTTTTAAAATGCTAGTAACTATTTCAATATAATTGGGTTCATTGATAATCCCCTGTATTTTATTTTATAAATTTGAAATCATTAATCTGAGAAGGAGTTCATAGTCCTCACCACATTGCCAAGGAGGACTCATGAATGAGAGATTTCATGATGGTTGCTTCAATTTTGGGTTCGACTAATGAAGCTAGTGCTTTAAAATCAAACTACATTTTAAGGATTCAGTCACAGCAAATCATACTGTGGGTGGATATATTTAGTAGGTATTAGTTTGCTAGGGCCGCTGTAACAAAGTGCTAAAAACTGGATGGCTTAAAACAACAAAAATGTATGATCTCACAGTTCTGGAGGCTAGAAATCCAAAATCAAGATGTGGACAGGGCCATGCTTCCTCGGAAACCAGTTTCCCTCCTTTGCTCTCCCAAGTGCTTGGTGGTTTGTCAGCAATCTTTGTCATTCCTTCTCTTGCAGGTGCATTCATTACTCCAGTCCTCCATCTGCACATGGTATTCTCTCTTTTGTCTCTTCATATCCTCTTCCTTCTGTGCGTGTCTGTGCCCTTGGCCAAATTTCCCCATTTTATAAGAATATCGGTTGTATGGATTATGGCCCAAAATAATGACCTCAACTTGATTAAATCTGCAAAGACCCTATTTCCAAATAAGGTCACATTCTGAGGCACTGGTGGTTAGCACTTCAATATATTATCTTGTAGAGGACATAATTTGATCTATAACAAGTGGATTCGACTATCTATAAATTACCAATATCAGAGTTATGCTTAATGTTCTAATATACAACTGAATAACACATATGAAAGAATACATTTAAGTATAAATTAGAAGGTGAATGTTGAAGCCATAAGAATAATCAATTATATTCAAGGATTTTAGAAACATAGGGATTTCTTACTGTTTTTCGTTTCTAAAAGTTAGTAGGTAATGGGAAAATGGCAGCTCTTAACAGAAATTTTCTTTAATTATAACTTAAGGCAAGTACATTACAAAAAGACACAAGCATTCATTGGTCTAAATTCTCTCTGATTATTAGAAATCCCTGATGAGCTAAATTAGAATTTCCAAAGCTAATATTCTGCGGTGTGTGGGTGTAGTAAGCCCTGGGTGGGGCTCACTACAATATAAATCTGTATTTATAGAAACTTCCCAATTGATCTAATTGTCAGAAGTGTAAGCATGAGAATTACTGATTTAAATTTTGCAAAATAGTTTATGACATAGAAAAATTTACATGGGAAAAATTACATGTTGAATATTGGTATTTTTAGAAACTGCCAAATTGTAATAAAAATTAGAAACTTTAGACTGGGCGCAGTGGCTCACGCCTATAATCCCAGCACTTTGGGAGGCCAGATCACCTGAGGTCAGGAGTTTGAGACCAGCCTGGCCAACATGGTAAGGTTGGCCAGGCTGGTCTCTACTAAAAGTCTCTACTAAAAATACAAAAATTAGTCAGCCGTGTGCATGCCTATGCATGCCTGTAGTCCAAGGTACTCAGGAGGCTGAGGTTAGGGGGATCGCTTGAACCCAGGAGGGTGAGACTGCAGTAAGCTATGATTACACCCCTGCACTCCAGCCTGGGTGACAGAGGGAAACAGAAAAAAAAAAAAAAAAAAAAAAAGTAAGAGGGAAGAGGAAGAGGGGAAGGAAGGAAGACGCGTAGGTTAATTGAAAGCATAAAGGACTTTTAGATCTATTCGAGCAGTTTTTATTTGTTTTGTTTTTTGTTTTTGACATGGAGTTTTGCTCTGTTGCCCAGGCTGGAGTGCAATGGCTCAATCTTGGCTCACTGCAACCTCCGGCTCCTGGGTTCAAGTGATTCTCCTGCCTCAACCTCCTGAGTAGCTGGGATTACAGGCATGCACCATCACACCTGGCTAATTTTGTATTTTTAGCAGAGACGAGGCTTCTCCATGTGGGTCAGGCTGGTTGAGCAGTTTTTAATCATAGCCTTTTTTCCCCTGTCTTCCACTATGCCACAGATTTCAATAGCTTTGATACAATTTATAAACATATAGTCTGTATATGATGAAAAGCTATCTTCTCAGTTTTGTTTTTTATTAAGTTTTCATCATATGCAAAGCTTGGTGATTAGGCTGGAACAACAGAATTCATACCACTGTCTGTAGTGAGATGAGAAGTGTCCATAAGAAAAGAAACGAAACACAAATGACCCCTATTCAGTGAATCCCTGCTTGATGCTAGGCAGTGTGCTAAACAATGGGGAACTAAGAAAAAGCCAGACATGTTCTGCCCTCATGGTGCTTACAGTCTAATGGATGGTGCAACACGTAAATGGC